ATCTCCGCGTCTCCGGCGCTCTTATTATTTTCACGCGCGCTCGCGTCGCGTGGGACGTCGCCTGCACGCGAGCGAGCGAGCGCCGCGATTAATATAGCCGCGCGAACATATACGCGCGTGTCCGCTTCGCGCGAGATTTTTTAAGCCCGATAATGAGTCCGTGTACATACACACTTTTTTTCGAGTGAAAGTAGACATTCGAAAATAATCGTAAGCCGCACTTGAAATAAAATAAACGAACATCGTAACTCACTTGGGATTTTTTTTTTTTTCATCATCGCGTTTGCGAGGGAAAAGAATTGCTTACGACTATTTTTGGTATCGACAGACTATCACGCGATGCATCAAAGAAATCATTAAAAAAAAAGAAAAAAAAATGGAGATGGTATCGTCCGACAATAATGTATACTTCGCAAATTCCTTCGCGTGAAATGTATAAAGCAAATAAAAGTACGCACGTAACTATGTGTGTGTCATAAATATTTATATTTAAAATTCGCATAAGCTGTGATATAATTAAGTCGATAGTGAAGTGAAATCGGATCGAAGGAATTCGTGAAATGAAGCGTGTCGATATTATTCGAAAACGGTTTATACATAGTAGAGTCGCGTTAGATATCTCTCTCTCTCTCTCTCTCCCTAATGCGCGGTGAAATATACTCGGTCATTCATTAGCGGATATACGCGCGGCGTGCTCCAAGAAGCTGCGAAAACTCGTTAAGCCTGTTTCCATGACACTCCGATATTAATCCGCCGATCAACGTCTAACAAAGCGGAGCGCGCCTTTCAGAGGCCGTCATAACGCTAGATAACTCCGTTAACGTTCCATTAATATCCACAGGCGGCGATGACCGTTCGAAGGAAATGAAATACTTTGTGCCTGGCGTAGAAATTAATACGACTCTCCCGCCCTGCGTTTTACCGCACACGGACTTCGCAGCGTAAATGTCAGTTGATCTAGTCTACGCTTTAATCATCTGATTTGCTCTCCGCTACTTTTACCACTTTATACTGCCTCGATCCGCCAGGATCCGCCAGGATCCGACGTAGTTCCGATTTAATTAACAGATTACAATCCGCGCAATTAGTGTCACTCGCCGATCTCCACCGTAACGAGGTCGAACTTACTTAATGTGTATTTTTTTTATTTTTTTTTTTTATACATATATAACTGTAAAATGATAGCGTTTCTCTTCTGTAGAATCACTATACGACCGGTACTAAACAGTCCAATAACATTTATGCGAAAGCCGTAAAATATAGCGTAGCGAATTTACATCTTGTGACTTCACAGGAATTTATTTCGCGAAAATAAATCGCGCGGTAGAACGTTCTACCTGTCGGACAGGATCGATTCTGCTGTTGCGATTTACAGGACGTCGCGCTTACGCGCGAAACGACGTATCGCCCGGTCAGTTGGAAAGGGAAGAGACATTTGTTATCGTCAGAACTCGCGCGCGTACACATATGTGCGATCGCAATTCGTATTTGGCAAATATCATTGCGGGCTCGGTTCGATAACCAGGCGATTCGTCACCGACTTCTCGGGCCGATAGTCAAATGAACGAGCGCGATCGTAAATCGACGAGCCGATGCATCGACGCATAAATCATTCGTCGTTCAGGTCGCTCCTCTATCAGGACTATCGGGGCGATTTCGTTATCGCTATGTACATCGGCGCCGTTGTTGCGGCAAATCGCATCGGAAAATATTTTCGGAAGTATACGATTTCGTATGTGAAACAAGCGCGGAGAGCGCCCGCTTATCGGAGCGTGTGTTATTTGCCAAGCAAACGACGGAACGATTAACGCTACACGATAATTAATACGCGGAAAATAAAATGAAAATAATACAATAAAGTGTCCAATGTAGCGGTAAATATTCCCGGAAAAATAGCCCCGGGATAAAACGTATTGTTACAACGAGATGTAGTTCGTGTTACGGTCATTTTTTTTTTTTTTTTTTTCACAAAGAAGAATCAATCTCGCGTATCCTCGCGGACCACCACGTGTGCGGAGAAACACATTTTCTTTCGTTTTTTTTTTTTTTTTTATTTCTTTTTACTACCAGCCGTGATATGCTCGCGAATCTCTCACGAACACGCGAAAACGTCTCTTTATAGCTGCGGGCGTTGATTACGCCTGCGATCGAGGCCATATCGGTCGTATAAGCGTTACACGCTATGCTGTTTATAACGCTAACAATAAGTAGGCGATCGTCGAAACCAATACGGAATCCTACGTCATCACGCAAGTGGGCAAACAAAAAGCGGGTAATACGGTGGAGCGTCTGCTATTAATGCCAGCATAATGTTAACTCCTGTTGCCGCCTCGTTGTAAGAAGACTGTTAATACTCTCTTCTCTCCCACCCGTTGTAATAACGCGGATGGCTGGCCTTTTAATGTAATTGTGTCCGGAGGTTCGAGCGATACGACATAAAATCCTGCGCCATCGTGGTAGCATCGTTCACGTAGTATGCATGACGTAAGCGCAACTCAAGCCAGCGTGTAAGCTTTATTAACTTGCCTCGAGTACTAGCCGACACTTAAAATCAATTAGTGGTACGCGTCAATTAGAAAGTCGGTCGCTTCATCGGAGTCCGAGTTGTTTTCTTCGGCCAAATCATCGCGACGCGAAATAATTGTTGACGAGATCTAAGCTAGACGCCGTGATTTTTTAAAAGAAACAATTTTCTTATATTGCTAATAGGCGTTGCTTATTATGTTTCAGATAAAAAAAAAGAATGAATCTTTGTTAGTATGGCCATTCTAACAAGTCATTATGCAAATTAAACCGGAAGTCTTTTGTGCACTTTTTCTACAAGGATATCACAAGATTAGCTTCTTTTTTTCGACAATCCTGGTGTTGATTCACTTTTGAAGGTTTAGGGTGATGTGTGCGTACGTTTATATATTACGAGAAATTTTAACGAAGAAGAAAGTATCAGAAATTGATGTTTTTTGAAATTTAAATAGTATTTTATAATTTTATATTTTTATATTACATTAGCGTATAAAATATTAGTTTTTATGCTATATTGATATATTTTTAATTTTGTGCTGTTAATAATATAGAATTTTAAACGGAGTTCGAAATAAACAACTCCGCATATTAAATTAACCGTTAATTATTGACTTTTTTTCACAACCAATATTGCGCCGTTTATTTTTATGTGCAATTTGTTTTAAATCAGCTTCGAGAGAGAAAAGAGGATTCAATAGTGTGCAAAAAGAAGTAATTGCTTTTGATAAAACAAGCGCATAACAAACCCCCTATTAAACACATTTACTTTCTTAATGTTATCTAAACTTGAGGACTCCACGATCTCAATATTGACCCTTCAATTTCAACGTTTTAACGAGCCAATTTATTTTCACAGCCGTCCGCCAATGTGTTGTGTTACAAATGCACATTACGTAAAATTCGTTATTTATAATGAATGTTCAAACACTTTAATAATAACTCTAAAATTAATATATTGTTAAATTCACGATTTCACGGTAAAATATGTCGCAACACAGTAATAAAGAGTTACGGAGTCGGACGTATATTATCTTTCCGCTTTTTTTCGACCGAGATATCGAGAAACGGATAGGAAACCGCGATGTACGAATTCTTCGTGGCGTACGATATCTATTATTCGATTTACTCTTCCTTGAATAATGCTTTCTTTTGGATTTTTTTTGTTTTGTTTTTGTTTTAGTTCTTTTTCGATGATTTAAATTCAGTTTCACGTACTTGGGTCTCATCTAAGCAGCGTAAAACTTTTCCTCGTTGAAATCATCTACGCCTATGACAAAAGTTTGTTTCTATCTCGTTTGTCTAAGTAAAGCATACGGATATTTCATTCTTCGAGAAAGAATAGCGGTAAACATGAAACATTAAAGACACGATAAATCAGTCCATTTGTGAGATAGAAAAAATCTTGTTTGCTCGATAAGAGTTGGGACGACAAGAGATAATCTTAATCAAATCTTTTTCACTTTAAATAGAATAAGATAATAAGATATACAATATAAGATATGTTAAGTGTATCTTTTTATTTAATATATTTACTTTGAGCTGTAATTTGGTGTTTAATTTTAACTTTTTAAATGTTTCATACGCCACACACATTAATGACCGTAAATTTTACCTACGTGAGATGTTACAATAGAAAAGTGCATTATTAAATTATCGAGAAATCCAATTTAGTAGAAAGTTGAAGCGCAAATGAACCACCACTATCTCCTATTAAGGATCCAAAATTAACAGCAGATCTCTGGGGAAGTAGAGATTATTACTGGAACGGCTAAAATTAATGATACATGGTCCTAAATTCGACTCCGTAGAAACGAAATCGTAGTCATCAATAAATGCCGCGTCGCTTGACGTCTGCGCTTTATCGTGAAACGTTATTGAGAGAAATTGAAAATACGATTTCAAAATGTCGTGAGATGAACACATGAATAAATAGCGACAGAATTAATATTTTCGTTACACCGTTTCGTACTGAGGCGCGCGTTGAAGTGGCTATTAAAAACTTTGTCGACTAAGTCATAACGCAGATATTCTCGGAGAAGGAAGATATCAGTTTCCGTAAGTGAAGAGTGTAAGTAGTGCGGTTCGCGATTACCAGCTATGATTTCGTTACGTCGTCGCGTAAGTATTGGTGTTCCTACATACATTCTGTCACATACACGACCCAGACTCGACTTTCCTACTTTATGATCAAGTTACACATCGTTTGCACATGCAGTGACCGCTAAATACACTCCTCGGCTCTGTGATTTAATAATGCACCGTTGCAAAATTTCCAACAGGTTTTGCAAATTTATGCTAAAATTAGCGATTACAATGTCAGCCTTGACTAAAGCAAAATTATATTCCTCTATTATAAGTTATATTCCTTTTCTTTTCGTTCAGTATGTATTTACGTTGTAATTATAACATTCACGGAAAACATTTTGAAACAAAACTTGAGGAAAGGTAATTTAGAAGAAAAACAAATCCACACTGACCTTGAGAAGCTGTCGGAAGTATGGACTACAGGCCGACAATACCACTTTGTGGGCGGTGAAGCTGCAGTTATCACACGCCAGCGTAACATCGACAAAGTCCTCTTCATCTCTGAGATTCCGGAACGTACTGAGGATATTGGTGTGGAAGTCGTTCCACTTAAGTGCGTATTGCTGAGTCTCTCCGGCACTCGATAAGGACGAAGAAGCCGCCATGGCGTCCGTCCCCTTGGAACTTGGGACCCGAGGTGTTATCGTGCTCAATCTGATTTTTTCTTCCAGGCACACCTTCGCTCTCGCTTGATTTTCGTCGCGTTTGGTTTTTAGTCCGATGAATAATTTGATTGCAAGTACCGTCTTTCTCCGAAAATATTTAGTGACGCGCAATCAGGAACCGAAGTTATGCCAAAGAGTTAAGTTACAATTAGCAAATTCTATGTTAGAATAAAGCTTGATGCTTCAAGGTAGATCGTCGCCTTGTATTATGGCCAGTAATATGCATAAACAGGGACCGAACAAGAGAAGATAGAGGGGAAACTTTAAGTACACCGCGTCGACAGATTTCATACTACTTGTGCCATGACGGAAATATATGTACCATGTGGAAACGTGATGAACAATTAGTTTGAGTAAATGAAGACGATGATTGCATTGCCGCATGTACCGCGTCGCCGAATATACTGCGACTGATATTTGATAATCTTGATCGGGAAATTATCTGAAAATAAAATAATGTCTTTCTTCATTTCTAAATATTTATTTTTTATATTTCTGTGCTATATATGTATATATATCGCTAATCTTGAAATATAATTTTTTTATACATATATGTATCTTAGATATAACAATTTTATTGATCCTCGACTATTTTTCAGAAACGTGCAAAAAAAAAAAAAGAAAAAAGAACATAGACAACGACAATATAGAAATTTTATTTCTATTTTATTTGTAGATTTTATTTTAATGTTTTGCTCGTACATTATGTGCAAGTAAAGTTGTAATAAATCTTTATAATCTTATTACTTTGTGCACAGATGTTGATATAAAAACTCTTATGCAGAGTATCTAAGAAGAATCAGAGATTACATTTTTAATTTAGCTAACTGACTCACCAATTGTTCACGAACATTTAAATATGTAACGAACGCATTACATATGTTACATTTTTAATAATGGATTCTCATTGGAGAGACGATTAAAATTTGAATCGTAATACGTTTATAACGATCAAATTAAGTATTATCTTCGTAAAACCGCTAATGAAATTGTGCAATCGGCCTTAGCGTATGCGCGCGATCGTTCAATATAAAATATTTTTACATTTATGCCGTTAATCTTCCGTTAAACTTTTAAACAGACGTTGTTTACGCCAAAATTAAAAGCGACGAAAATTTCAATAAAATATAATAATGTGATATTCAATGTTATTACTGTTTATAATAGCGTAAAATTTATAGTAAATACAAAAGCTATTAAAAAAATATTCAAGGATATTTTACTTGATAAGTTAGAGATTATAAATACATAATATGTAATATATATGTATATATGTAAATGAAGAGTTTAATTTCCATTTATACTTCACTTAACTTCCACTTATACATTAAACTTACTTAAAAACTATACTTTACAGCAATATTCATGCATCTGAATTAACGGCATAAGTAAGAAAATAAATAATAATTGCTAACTTTATTTTTTACGCAAACAAAATTTAAGAACACTCTAAACAGACACAAACATTTTTGTTCTTTATATGAAGACAAAATAAAAACAATAAAAACTTATATTTTTTAAAAAAAATGTACAAGTCATAAACTGTTTTTTATTTTTTCATTTTTTATCGCGTTAAGCTACTAAACTCTTACGAACGGAATACAATAAGCTATCCGATAAATGGCTCAAATTGATTGACAATGGCGATTACGTCGATGATTGAATTTGTTTATGATTTCACAAGAATCGGAAAAATATAAATTTAAACACATTTTTACATCTAGTAAAAAATTTTATAAAATATAAAGAAATTTTTAAATTTTTCTCTTTTTTAAGATATTTTATAACTTTTAATTTAATGATTGTTATATATAAGAATAGAAACTTACGTATTTCTCGTATCTCTATGTATCTCTCTTCCCTCTCTGCAAGAGCAACCTGTGATATTGTCGATCTTTAGAACTTCTTTGCTCCTTCTTCTTTTTTCAGAGAATGATCTGTGCATTACCGTTTAGTTTGTCTTAACAAAGTGTAAGACTAGTCGTGCTACTCTTTCGTTATTCTCTACTATTTCGTTAACTTGTTAAGTTTCTTCAAAGAAGTGGTTTATTTTCTAGTATAGTTTTTAGTACTTGCGATCTTCGTCTTTCCCCGATGAGAATTTATTCTACGGGAAGACAATTGAAAATAAAATATTATAACTAATTTTGTTTTTATTCTCTCTTATGCTTCACAGTTTACAGGATTAATCCAAATTGTTTCTATGTATATGTATAAGAAAAGTCTCAAAGTCTCCTTCTCTCCCGAAAAAGTCGATTACTCGCATTTGGTTTTGCACTCATCGGCGTAATGTCTGAAACTTTGCTCTCGCTGTACGCGACCAAAACACCGGAAAGCATAATGCGTACGTTGGCGTGTGTCAATCGGCAAATAGGGGTCTACCTCTGGATTTTGTTGTACTTGCCAACAACGCGTTTCCACATCTCGACATTTAGACATTCAGCACCAAAACAATATGGATATAATAAACTCTTTTTATGTTGGTCTGTGCGCCTGTTTAATATTATAACTGATTAGTCCTTGTCACAAGATTTTCTGCTGGTTTAATTTTCTGATTTTTGGCCTCTGGTTCACTATTTGTTTTCTGTCCCGTCTATTACACCGCGCCCATTCTTTTCTTCTGCGTTCTTCTATAATCATAAAAGATAAACAATATAAATTATAGACTATCAACTAAAAATTAACAAGATTATTAAGAAGTTTGATTTTTATTAAAACTTTATAACTAAAAATTATTTTATACATTCTATCCGCTTTAGAATATTTTTCACGTTTGGTATTTTGTGCACACAGAGAATGCACACGGTAAGATGGACACGCATCTATCGAATGAACAGTAAATGCGAACATTCGACTGACGTATTAGCCGATTTGATTAATTTTGCGTCAGTTCGTTTGACTCAAAATATATCCAGCTTGTATATCCTGCATGCCAGAATAGCAATTCATGAAGAGACGAAACTTGCTTAGAATTGGATATTTCGTTACTACAATTGATAACAAAATATTTATTGTTAGCACATTTTATTATCTATATTTCTGACATTCTCCGAACATTCAATTAAAAATTATTGTAACTATTAATTTTTTTTGCATCGCCTCCGATATAACTTTTTTCAATAAACTGGTTTAAAACCTTGCACAAAATAAGTACACATTATATACTTTAACTTTATGTATATATAATATGTCACCGCAGTCAAGTGACCGAGATCAGTGACTCCCACCGCAGTCACGCGACCGAGGTCATTTACCCCGCCGCGGTCGCGTGACCGAGGTCATTGACCCCCACCGCAGTCACGCGACCGAGGTCATTGACTCCACCGCAGTCACGTGACCGAGGTCATTTACCCCACCGCTGTCAGTAATCTTACCGTAGTATATATAAAGTAAAAAGTAAAAATTAATAAATTTTAAAAATTAATAAACTATATACTTTAACTTTATAAAGTAGAAAATTAAAAATTAAAAATTTTTTAAATATAATAACGTACAAACGTTTACTTGATGATACTTTTTGATATCACTTCTCTCTGTTGTAAAACAGGTTTTTAGAGAAAGAATGTTTTGTAATATATAATATTTTGTAAATCAGTTTTATAGAGAAAGAACTTTTTGTAGTTTGTAAAAACATTTTGGAGAAAAAAGTTTTTGTAGTAAAAAAGAATGTTTTGTAGTATATAATGTTTTAGAACAGATTTTATATAGAAAATTGCACGCATTCGTTTTCGAATAATTTAAGGAACTACTACGACTCGAGAAATCAATTAAAAACAAATTATGTTGAAATCAACATAAAAACAAAAAAGAATAATGTACTTCTATCGAAGTATTTACGTGCGTTATACAATCATGCGATTATACGCGACGAAATTATTACCATGACGAAATTATTTTTAATAAACTTGTGTCACATACGCGGAAGAGAATCAACGTGTTATTTTTTGTATACAAGTACCACTAATCATCAATCATTTGACTTTACGATCGCCAGTAAATGTTTCTTTACATCAATTACCGTAATGCAATCACGATGTTCACCGATCCACACGCGTCGATTATTGCGCGCCACATTTACACGTCGCAATTGTAAAAAAATTTGAAAATTTAAATCTGCCTTTCTTTCTTTACTTACGTACATATATTTACGTTTATATATGCGTATATTTGTGTGTTCAGTTCCTGATGATAATTCACTACAAATAATTTCATTGAGCAGGTAAACCTCTCCGATCATCGATAAAGTATTTTTTGTTTCCATACGTAAAGACAAAAAATATAGTACACATACACATTTTATTCTCCTTGTGAAGTGACACGGACATATCGTTGGACTTACTAGAGATTTTTTCAATTTGGTTTTTTGATCGACGCAGAATCGTCTCATTTTTTTAAATTTTTTATTCAAAAAGAAAAATTAAAAAATATTGATTTTTTCAATTTTAAAGACCCAGTCAGTCCAACTAGTGGACTGTTTTGAAAGTCAGTCCACGAGGTGTTAAATAAAACATAAAATTTCCTATTTTATAAAGAACGAAATTTCTCGTACGGTTTTCTGCTATTTGCCGCACAGATGCCCACACAAAACGCGATAATATTAAAGCTCGTAATACTCATAAAGCTTGTTGGGAAGCGTAAAGTCTTAACGCGACCGTTGTACTTTACGCGGAAATTCATTCACAAGTCGGCGGAGATAAAACGTAGAGGATTTATGTACCGTCTCTCTGCGGGCGCGGAGCACAATAGTCCCTCCCAACCTCTTTCCCTTTGGTTTTACGTTCCACCAATTTAGTCACCGTTTAAAAACGAACTCCTCGTGACTCGCGCGATGCTTATCGGTCGGCAGTTATCAGGGGAAGCTTAAAGCTTGGCTGTGTTTATCCGTAATGTACAATGTACGATCGTCTTTGCGATTTTAATTATGAAAATAGCCCGATCTCTTTCGCTGATAACGGGTCGCGTTGTTTCGCGTTTCCGCGTATATACAGCGTGTATACACACGCTTTTGTAAACAAGCGACTCGAGATATCACGTAATAATGCAGCGTAGTTTTAAAGAAGAAAAAAACAGAAAGAAAGACATTGCAACCGCACGTATGTAGTGCAATTGCGGCGTACCTACGTGTCGAGAATGAAAAGCGCCCAAGCCGAGGCAATTACGCATTATGAAATCAACCGCTATTATAATTCGACGCTCTAATATGTGGTGGAAAATTTATATAAAAACAGATATCACAATTCACTCACGTATATTTTAACTTATATACTTGTTTAGAAGAGAGGACATTTCGTACGTAATATCGATCGCGAAGAAATTTCATCTAAGACACATCGAGAGATATGTCATTTTTATATCTCCTACGTGTTATTACATCTCATATATCTTGGTCCATATCATTAGTTTCTCTCGACTATACATATATAAGTGATCATAAAATTGCATACCATCAACGAAAAAAAACAAAATTAATTTATTTACATCTGATAAATGTTGCAAATATAAATTTCTCAAATGATTTGTTTTATTTCTAGTGTATCTAAATTTCTGTAAAAAATATGTTAATGCAAACGACTAAACGATTAAGCGCAATATGTAATATCGTGCGTAAATACGCCAATTGATTGATGTAATGTTGTTTATACTTTATATATTGAACTGTAAGTACATAGCGCAAGAAAAGTATGTGAGCAATTACGCGTATTATGAAACTGACATAATAATCGCGATTTTGCAAGCGTATACCAGGAAAGCGTTAGAATCCGCGAAATGTTTTTCCATTTGTCGCTCTACAATAAAATTCAAACGATGCATTTTACTTCACGACCGAATCTTTATTATACGGCAAAATAATAAATCTAAATTCTGACGCGTACATCATTAATGCGAATACAACAACTTGTACTTGAATATTTATCTTCGCATCGCCGATTATGTGTTCAATTCGGCGCACAATCATGTATAAGAAATCGATAAAAAACCAACAGCAGGCAATTAACCACTCAGGAACTCGATTTTTGAAAAATAACGCAGTTGGCTCGCGCGTTAATATTAATTTATCGACAATACAAGTTGAAATTATATAATTACGGAGACGTAACAGATATATTACTGCACAAATGTCAGAGTAGTAACAACGCAATATTATTTCTCTTTTCTCTCTCAAAACTCGCTGTAATTCTCAGTCTTTTCTTTATATATAAATGATATTACATACTATTTCTTGAAACGTAAATATAAAAAAATGTTTAATTTTTATTATTTATACTTAGATTAAGACAGCGTTTTATAGCTTCAATTACAAATATTAAAACTTTATCTTTCTGTTTATTTACAGAAAATTATGAAAAATATTATAAAATGTTATAAAAATATTATAAGTTTTAATGTAAATTAGAATTCATACAAGTACACAAAACAATATAATTACAAAGTACAAAAAAAACACGATTTTTTTACCGCGAAAATAAGCAGAGAAAAAGAGTAGAACCACTTTCGCCATCTCGTGCGTTCTTTCGATCAGGTGTTTCCGGCTTGTGAAATGTGTAAAATCGCAATCGGGAAAAGATAAAACAGAGCGTGTCACGCATGTAGTATGTGTGTGCGTGCTGCACAGCATTCCATCGCAGCCAGCGGTATGAATGAACGTGGTGAGGAATATATTTCGACCGATCGATCGACACCACTGGCGCAAACGATTCCCAGCGTGCAGCGCATCAAACCGTAAATATTACAATTTCAGTGTCTGAGTTGATGGAAAATTATCATAATTATGTATTCCGAGATTGTGCGCAACTTCGAAATGTGAATCTATTTATTAAAGTAACAATTTTGTTCCGATTCTTTTGCACGTGTGCATATTTTTTCAACAAAGACAGTATAATGTTAGAACAGCCACTTTAGTTTCTATAATATATAAATAATATTTTTTCAATAAATATATTTTAAAATAACTGAGTTATTTATTCTCATATTCTCTGAAACATTTTACAAATAGAAAAAAATCACAGAGAAAAAAAGATACCTGATGTGCAAAACCGGTTACAGTAAATACTAATTAAAGTTTCGAATTCGTGAGTTTGAATTTGTTTTGTAGTCTCGGCATTCCTTTTTTTTTAGTGACTACTTTGTAGTTCTGAAAGAATCGAACCTACAGGCTGTTCCTGAGTGTCGCGTAACTGCGCCAGAGGCGGGTACTAACAATAAATTTCTTAGTGGCAAACAGGAGATGCATGTCTCGACCGTATGAAAATAGATAGAAAGTTGCGAATTCTTCAATATTGAGAAATAGAGTACAAGATGAATTATTGATACTAGCATTTGAAGTATAAATTATATTTTAAGAGTAATTATTTAGATTATGTGCATAACGGTACTTTGAATGCATGATTAATAACTATATTTAGAATCAATTATGACGAATTTATTATCTTTACAAGAAAAATCGAGAGACGTATTTATCTGCTCTCTCGTTTCAAAACCCGATCACTGTGTGGTGCTTTGCATATCATTGTGTACGACGTGCGTATACAAAGAAATATTCCGCGCGTGCAAAAACGCGCGCGATCTGCATATGTCGTTAGCGATGATCGATGAACCCTGGCGGTAAAGCTCGGGATAGCCGTCATTAACG